AGGTGCGGAGTGAGATTTTCTAGATGCCGGACCAAGGATTTAGAAATACATAACTTATCACTTTGCATGCAAGATACTAGGAAAGAATTGTTGTAGTTAGAATTATCAAGTTATGAACCTGTGGGGAACACGTAAACCCTAGTTACTTTAATTAATTGATTAAAACCCAACATTAAAAGCTGTTAAGTGTCTCTTTCAAGTTCGTTAGTTATTTTTACTCATTAGGAAATACAAACCCCCCTTTTTATGCTTTTACTTTCTAAGGAAGTCATCAACGGAATAGTAGTAATAACAAGTTGAAGTTAAGTCTAGACTATTTTCCTCATGGGAACGATCCCAACCTCACTAGTTGAGTTATTTACTTGACGCGACCTTCTTATTTGAGAAGTAAGTTTGAGCGTATCAATTTGAAACCCCCCTTTTATTGTTTTTTACTTTCCAACGAAGTCATTGACCAAACAATAGTAATAACAGGTTGAAGTAAAGTCAGACTATTTTCCTCGTGGGAACGATCCCAACCTCACTTGTTGGGTTATTTACTTGACTTGAACGCTTTACTTCTTATTTGAGAAGTAAGTTTGAGCGTATAAAGAAGCCCAGGCATTGGAGGAAATTAGGGTATTCAAACCAAGTGTGGAACCACGACTAGCATCCACGGTCTGCCGATTGATCAACGGACCATACTGGTGAATCATAGTTAGAGACTACGAGGGTTCCAGTACCTGATACTTGAAGATTCTAAGTGTGGAGTCACGGAGGAGCATCAATAGACCGTGTTGTTGGTCTGTCATTTGATTCAGAGAAGATACAATCCGGAGGCTGAAATATATTTCTATGTCTTCGCTGATGGTAGCAAAGTACAGACCGTCGATCGACCGACGACCCATCAGTGGTCTCGTAGATTAATGTTGTGTGCCTGGACAAACTTTTCTTATTTAAATTCCTTTTTAATTAGAATTTTGTTTTCTATAAATAGGGGATAAAACCTCGTTTTTGGGGTTATCTACAACTACTATTGTTCTAGTTTATGTTTTGGAGATTAGTTTTTGCAACTTTGGCGAATAATTAATTCCGGATTTGGTTTTGAAGCTTTTGGTTTGCAATCTAAGTGCAATTTCTGGGTTTATTATTCTTAGTACATAAGTTCATGATTTTTTCATCTATCGATATGAATTGTGTTCTTATTAATATGGGTAACTAAATCCACAACTAGGGTTGTGGGAATCATCATGAATTATTAAAGTATAACTGGTATTAAGTAATTCTTGAATAGTGTTTTTGCATGCATTGATAATTCTTTCATTTAGAAGTCTTTTTAACGAGTGCACGCGTTAGAACTCGCCTTTTTGCTACTTGTCGGAACAATGAGGTAGTTAATAAGAATAGAGTTATCAACATTAATTTAGTGTGATACTATCTAATAGGCTAGTGTCCATTGGTACGAAGTAATAACTAAGTCATACATCGATTATGATGTCTAAAATGAGGTAATGGTAAAGGCTAGTAAATTAAAAACACGTAGCCGGACCAAGGTGCATGGTGAAATTCCTTGAATGTCGGGCCAAGGATTTAGTGAGACATAACTTATCACTTTGCATGTAGTACAATATGAAAGAATTGTTATTACTAGGAATATTGTGCTGTAAACTTACGGGGAACACATACTAGTTACTTTCTCATCTTGATAACAATCAAAGTTTACTCTTGTTCACTTGCTAATCATACAATTAAAGGAATATGTTTAAAAAAAAACCCTTTACTTAATTGTTTTAGAAATACCTTGACTAAAAAGATATAATGGTGGGTTAAAGTTAATTCTAAACCATATTTCTCATGGGATCGACCCCAACCTACTAGTTGAGTTCTTTACTTGAAAACGATCTCTTATGCTTCTTTAGGGAGGTGTAATTTGAGCGTATCATATTTTGGCGACGCTTGCGGGGAATTTTGGCTTTTAGATTAAGTTTAACTACATTATTGAATTTTGGTCAAATATTTCCTTATTTTACCTTTTCTTTTGTCTTTGTCTCTCTCAGGGTCTTACTCTAGTGTATGCCAAGTACACGGAGCAGCGGCAAACCTCTCAGTCCTTACGATAAAAAAATTAGGCAAAACCTTGCGCAGAATTAATAATCCAGCACCCCCGATTAATCTTATGGGATAAGGTGATGGATTAGAAGGGAACAAGATAAGGTGATGGATTAGAAGGGAACAATATGGTTCCACCTTAAAATAGAGTGGGGCCTCCACTAAGGCCCCAATACCCTCAAGGAGTACGGATGAATGACAATGGCAGGGTCGACATAAATATCACTAGTTCTGATGGACCTCTTGTCTTACCACCGCTCCTTCCAGGGCATACTTTTGTGGTGACAAGTATTTTGATGCAGATGCTTACAACGAGAGGATTATTTGTGGGATTGGCAGCAGATGATTTACACGCTTACATTGATTGCTAAACTGAACTTTTTCTATAAGATTTGCATAGGTTGATCAGATTGGAATATGAATGCTATAGGGCTGAAGGTGTTCCCTCTATCGTTAACTGGATAAGCTACGGTATGGTTCAATGAGCTCCTTTACAACTCTATATATACATAGGAGTAGTTGACAGATGCATTCTTATCAAATTTCTTTCCAGTGTACAAGAAGTTGAATAAAAAAGACAAGCTCAACAATTTTGTTGCTCAACCTGGAGACTGTGAGTAGCTCTTAGGATAGATTCACTGCCTTCATGCGAAGCGTTCCAAACCACCGTATTGATGATGAGTCATTGATAGAGTAATTCTATCGGGGACGGGAAGACTATGGTAAGGTAGTGCTTGATACTATTGTAGGAGGGTCGTATGGTGAATGCTTATGGGTACAGATCACTGAGAAAACGGAGAAGATATTTCGCAACAACAAAGCTTGGAGCAATATAAATTCAGACACTAGGTGAAACACCTTCATTGTTCAAGCTACAAACAATCCAGCCATAGATGATATTCGTGAAGAGATGGAGCAGATGAGGACCGAGTTGGGGTTGGTCTTGAAGCATGTGTGCGGGGGCGCAGATAAAGTGAATGCAGTGAAATATTTGACTAGAACTCTACAACCGACAAAATAGTATTACTATGATGATGATGCATATACAGTTAATGATCAAACGGGGGTTTCTGACCAAATGCCCAAGGTTCCAATTTGGATAATTGGTGCCAAGGTCAATGAAGTAACTACAACTGAGAGGGTCAATATGTCCGAGATGGGAACTATAATAGTGACAAACCAAAACAACTATAGTAACAGGAATGATCGGGTTGTGACATATGTTCCACCACAAAATCAAACATCTGCCCCTAGGCAAGGTGGAGGTAATATGGCACGTATTGAGATATGCTGCAGAAGATGATGATGAGGTTTGATCAAACTGTTGAGAATGTCAAGGAAATTAGGAGTGACCTGTCTAGCATTAGACAAAAGGTGGATGCATATGTGGTTTCGATAAAGAATCTTTAGCTACAGATGACTCAGTCGTCCACTACAACTAACCCGTGCCAACCTATCACTATTCCAAGCAACACTATCCAAAATCAAACAAATGATGGGCATTACATGACAGTCACTACTCGAGGGGGTAAGCAAACAATTGATCCACCTATGTCGCCTGTGATAAAAGAGGATATGAGAAAGAAAGATAATGTAGTAAAAGCTAGTGTGGAGTTGGGTGATGCAAAGTGGTCCTCATACCTTGACCTCCACCACCATTTCCACAGAGATTGGTGAAGAAAATGAAAAATGGTAAATATCATCGGTTTATCACTATGTTGAAGCAGATTTTCATCAATGTTCTGTTAATAGACACTTTAGGAAAAATGCCTGGATATGCCAAGTTTATGAAAGATATGGTGACAAAGAAGAGGTTGGTTAGTTTTGAAGATGATGACAAAATACAACATTGTAGTGCTATTGCTACAAGATCTCTTGTGCAGAAGAAAGAGGATCCGGGTGCCTTCACTATCCCATGTACTATAGAGTTGCTACACTTTGCGAAGGCACTCTGTGATCTTATTGCGATCATAAATCTTATGCCACTGTCCATTTATATGAAGTTAGGCTTGGGGGACCCAGAACCTACCACGATGCGGTTACTTATGGCCGATCGAACTGTGAAGAGGCCCATAGGTGTACTCCGTGATGTGCTTGATAAAGTGGAGTCGTTCATCTTTTCGGTGAACTTTGTGATTCTTGACTGTGAGGTTGATTTTGAGGTCCCCATTATCCTAAGGAGACAATTCTTTGCTACGGTGAGTGCATTAGTCGATATGGAAAAAGGGCAGAAAAGTTTAGGTTGAACAATGAAGAAGCAACTTTCAATTTCTGTAGGTCCATGAAGCAGAGTGGTGAGATCCAAACGGTATCAGCTATAACCAACAGAGTTGAGAGTGTATCGGAAGTGCAAACTGAAGAGTGTCTAAGTGTTGAGGCACTGAAAGCTGTCATCATGAATTTTGATAGTGATGGTATTGAAGATTGTAACGATTTGGTGGATGAACTTGAAAGAAAAGAATATCAGTCAAAGCCGAAGAAGTTGGATTCGGAAATGAAGCATCGCGAGTCCCCACTGTGAGACCATCTATTGTGAAGGAATCAAAATTTGTGCTTAAGTCTCTACCATCACATTTGCGGTATGTGTTTTTGGGTAGAGATGACACTTTACCGGTGATTATTGCAACAAATTTAAATGGGCAACAAGTAGAGTTCTTAGTGGTGGTGTTAAAGAGGTTCAAGTGAGACATTGGATGGAATATTGCAGATATTATTGGGATCCCTACCGGTATTTGTTCCCACAAAATTCAACTCATGCCAGACCACAAACCTAGTATTGAACACCAAAAAAAGGTTAAACCCACATATGCAAGAAGTAGTTAAAAAGGAAATCATCAAGTGGTTGAATGTTAGAGTCATTTATCTAATTGTAGACAACAATTGGGTGTGCCCTATTCAGTGCGTGCCTAAAAATGGGTGGGATGACTGTGACACCTAATGAAAGGAATGATCTTATTCTGATGAGTCCTATGACCGGACGGAGAGTTTGCATGGACTACCGAAAGTTGAATGCTTGGACACAAAAAGACCATTTTTCCCATTCCCTTCATGGACCAAATGTTGGACAGACTTGTAGGCAAGGCTGGTATTATTTTCTAGATGGCTACTTAGGCTACAACCAGAACTCTATCGCCCCGGAAGACCAAGAAAAGACCACATTCACTTGCCCTTATGGGACTTTTGCATTCAAAAGGATGCCATTTGGGTTGTGTAATGCACCAATGACTTTTCAGCGTTATATGATGTCGATATTTTCTGATATGGTAGAGGAAACTATTGAGGTTTTCATGGATGATTTTTCTATGGTTGGCGACTCCTTTGATCGGTGTTTGAATAATCTGGCTGACATGCTCAAGAGATGTGAAGATTGCAATTCGATACTAAATTGGGAGGAGTGACACTTTATGGTGAAAGAAGGCATAATGTTGGACCCTCGAATCTCAAAATAGGGGATAAATTTTGATCAGGCCAAAGTTGAGGCCATAGAGAAACTTTCACCACCCATCTTCATCAAGGGTGTGAGAAGTTTTGTCGGGCATGTTGATTTTCATTGTTTATAAAGGATTATTCAAAAGTTGCATATCCTTTGTGCAAATTGCTAGAGAAGGACTGTAAGTTCTATTTCGATGAGTCTTATCTGAGAGCATTTGGAGAATTGAAAGGGAAGTTAGTTTCTGTGCCCATTATTATTTCACCGAATCAGGGTGAGACATTTGAGGTGATGTGTGATGTGAGTGGGGTTGCACTTGGCATGGTATTAGGACAAAGAAGAGATAAAATCCTTCACCGTATTTATTATGTGAGCAAAGCTCTGAATGAAGCCCAAAAGAACAACACTGTAACTAAACATAAACTTCTAGCAGTGGTGTTTACATTTGAGAAATTTCGATCCTATTTGCTTGGCATGAGGGTCATAGTGCATATCGACTATTCTGCATTGAGGTAGTTGATAGCGAAGGACGCAAAGCAAAGGTTCATCAGATGGGTATTACTGCTTCAAGATTTTGAATTTGAGGTGGAGGAGAGAAAGGGGACTGCAACTCAAATGGTCGACCACTTCTTAAGAATGGAGGATGAAGCTATGCACAAACTGGGGGAAAAGGCTGAAATTAATGATGCGTTTCCAGATGAGGATATATTGGTCGTTTCACATGATCTGATCCCATGGTTTGCAGACTTCGTTAACTATTTGGCAAGTGATTGTCCCGCGGATTTGACTTTACACCAAAGGAAGAAGTTCCTACACGATGTGAAGAAGTTTTTTTTTGCGATAAGCCTAACGTAAATCGGAGTTCTGCCAATGGGATTATTCGTTGTTGTATGCCTGAGGTTGAACTGATGAGTGTACTTAAGATGTGTCATTCATCACCTGTTGGTGGGCACCATAGTAGTATTCGAACTGTGCACAAGATCTTATAATGTGGGTACTATGGGCCCACCATCCACCAAGATGCTCATGATTTCACCAAATCATGTGATCGTTGCCAACGAGACGGAGGGATTTCAAGGACCCAAGATCTTCCCATGAATCCCAATCTGGTGATTGAGTTATTTGACGTATGGGACATTGACTTCATGGGTCCGTTTATGAGTTCTCATGGGATAAAGTGTATTCTTGTGGCGGGGTTGACTATGTTTCAATATGAATTGAAGCAATTGTGGTCCCTAATTATGAAGGGAAGATGTTAGAATCTATGCGTCCACTATCAGTCAATAGACCAGGTCCCTTGACACACAAACAAGAATATAACAGAAAGTAAATGCAGTTTAACAACACAAAAATTTCACGTGGAAACCTCCTTGCTTAAGGGAGTAAAACCACGACCTGTCTCACACGATTTACACAACTGTTTCACTAATCTTCGCAGGCAAAAGAAAAAGCAGTTACACAAATGTGAGAAAAAGTTTTTAATCTCACGATCAAGCAATAACTCTATTGCTTGATAAGCCTATGTAGAAGTTATTCTACCCACTAAGGTATCACTCTAGACAACTTAGAATTTCAACACCCACCACACTGATTCCTTTATTGATTTAGGAACAGTTTACAATGTAAGAACAAAAGAATATATTCTCAACAACTATACAATATGCACCTGAGTTTTCAGTTGTTATAGAATAATTCTTCACTTTGATTTTCTATAGCGTTTGCAAAAGTTCTTGAGAGTGCTTTTTCAAGTTGTAAAAACTAAGAAATGATATTAAGAAAAGTGACATTGCATAGACAAGTCCCTTTCCTTAAACTCATGCCAATGGTTGGAAAGGTCTGACTTTTTTGACGCTGTTGGGAAAGGCGCACCCACTTTTTGTACCTTTTCCAGCTGGCAGTCAACGATCTATTCATGTTGAGAACCTGGTACCTTTACAAGGTTCCTCATTTGGTCACATCATCAAAACTCATGTTAAGAAGCTAGTACCTTTACAAGGTCCCTGAGTTTGTCGCATCATCAAAACTACAACCCTTTTTGATGATGAAAAACAATACTCCAGACACCACTCCAGCTTCATAACAAGTTCCCCCTGAATTACTTGTCCACCCTCCTGAAATAAAAAAAAAATTGTTTCACTGTATTCCCCCTCACAAACATGTCCAGCTACAACTTTTCAGTTAAAATTCCCTTTTTTGGCATCATAAAAAATAGATACAGTAAACCAATAGTATCAACAATAATATCAGAGAAGACCAAAGCCTTAGAAACACAAAGGAAATCATTCACAAGAGATAGTAGCTAGAACACATGGGGAATAATATAAATATCATTTCAAGATAAACATTTAATACATTAATAGCAGAATTGAGAATACAATAACGAAAAGACAAGCCACACAAGGAAGACACAGAAAAAGATTGGAACAGACTAAGAAGGGGGAGGCTGATGAGAAAGGGACTGAATAATGAGAGTGAGTCTATCATTTGCAGCATCATTATCCTTTATTGCTTTTTCTTGCAAAGCAATAACCTTGGTCCTCAGCTCTGCATTTTCCCTTTCCAGGGCTTGAACCACAACAGTACCAGTTCCCTCTGTCTCTTTATTGAGCTGCTCAACTTTGAGAATAGCAATTTCAGCATCTTTTCCACTCAGTCGCATAGTTAATTCCTCAACTTTATGCTTGAGTTGGTCTTGGTCTTCTATGAGTTGAGCCATTTTGCTCTTGGCACTCACATTCAACCAGATTATTTTCTGAAAAAGCTTGTTTCACTGTACCAACCTTGCCAACACTAAGTGGAATGTTAATGTATTTGAATACTTCAGAGAGAAAGTACCCATATCCCATTCCATGTATTCCTTTCCGCTCAATGACAGTCTTGTACATGTGTTCCAGCATGATTCTTGCAAGATTCAGAGGTTCGAATTTGCACAACAACTCCACCACATACAAATCAACAAAAGTGGGTGAGGTCCTCTTTTCAGTTCGAGGAAGTAGAGTTTTGTTAACAAACTCAAAGACTAACTGATACTCACTTTTCATCACCTTCTTAAACACCTCTGCACACTTTGTTGTGGGAAGCTTCTAGACCAATGCCACAAACTCAATTGAACATATTTTCCCAATCACAGACCTGGTACCATCTCGAGGTACCTTAAGAATTTTCCCCAACAAAAACTCACCCCGATGCACTGCAATATCATTCACTCTGGTATGGACACTTCCATCTTCCTGAAATTGAATGTTGTAGTAAAATTCACGCACTTTCTCTTCATGATGAATGAGAGATTTTTTGTTGAAGAGATGCATCCATGACTAAATCTCCACCATGTCATTAAGTGAGTCCATTCCACGAAGGTTAATTATTCCCATATCAAAAACCCTCCCAGCCAGTACAGACTTCTTTCTCAAATTGTCAACAGTTTCTTGTTTGTTGACCTCCTCTTCAATTTTTGTTTGGGTACCAAGTCCCTCTGACCTTTTCCTTTTTCCTTTAGAACTCTCCTTGGTAGATTTTGTTTTCTTAGCCTTTTTGGTATCTCTTGACTTTGTCTTTCATGATTTCTTCTTCCTGTGCCTCTTTTTTTTCTTTTCAGCAGACACCTCTACGACACCAGACTCAGGCATTTTGAAATTTGACACTTTGAATGTTCAAGTACTCCTGATTTCTGTTGTAGACCTTGCACTGTCTTTCAAAGCATCAGCCAACAATATTTTGGCATCAGATCTAGTAGTAGGTCTCCTTCTAGGCACTTCTTCCACCACCTTTTCGTTTCCCTTTTTTGATACACTGACATCTCTCCTTTCAACCTTCCACTGAATAGATTCATCATCACTGGCTGAATCAGAGGAGTTAGAAGATAGATACCTCCCAAAGTCTGGAGTTTTATAAAACATAGGTTGAGTCTCTCTGATCTCTTCACCTTGAAAAGGTTCATTTTTTTCGACCCTGACTCCCTCTCTCATCATAGCAAGACTTTCAATCACCAGCTCTTCACTTGCAGCAAGAATGTTTGACTTTGAGAATTTGTTACTTGGCAAATCTCCTTCAAACAAAGAACCCGAAAGTGTTTCATGATGACGACCAGGTCTAGTAAGAACACTTGAGTTGTTCAGATCTATGGAGTGAAATGGATTTTCAAGAATATCTTGGGAAGAACTTGACGGAATGTTAGACCTAGACCCTACTGCTGAAAGAGAATAGAAAGCAATAGGTTTAATCTCACTAAGGTCTGTAAGCATTTTCTTAGAGGCGGATGAAGGATCAGACATTTTGTCAAGAAGAAGAAAAGAGTAACAATTTTGAAGAAAAAGAAAAAGGGATAAAAACAAATTTTGTCATTTCTCTTCTTCCATTTTCTTTTATAGTGAAGGAATGTTTCAAGATGGATTAAGAAATAAAAAGGAAAGAAGAAGAGTTTAAAAAGAGTTGAAACGGTGCTAGGTCCCTTGATTTGACTCGTCGCTTGAAAAGTAAGCGATGGGACTAACGGTCAGAATGACCGATGACTGACACGTGGCTTTATCAACGATCACTTTTTTCAGGTTAAAATTAATGTACAAATGCTAACCTCTACTGGGACCAGGTCCCATAACACAACTTTATCATCATTCCTCAACTGTTCTATCCATGTCTTTGCTTTTCTAGTCCTTCCTGAATGTATACCTACAATAGGTACCAAAAATGATCTAACTCAGATAATATCTTATTGACACGAAGGATACCTGCACTGCAAGTTTAGCCATCAAAATAATTCAACTATTGAATATCTAGAAATTATTGCAAATTCATCATGCCCAACTTCAACCTATTACTCTCAAATTGATCTTTGCTAAGAGCCTAGGTGAAGATATCTGCAATTTGTTCTTCCGTTGGACAATATGTAAGCACAATATTTCCCTTTTCAACATTGTCTCTCAGAAAATGATGTCTAACATCAATGTGCTTAGTTCTCTTGTGTTGAACTAGATTCTTTCCCATACTAACTGCACTAGTATCGTCGCACATAAGGGGAATGACCTTGATGATTACACCAAAACCCTCTAAATGTTGCTTGATCCATAACAATTGTGAACAACATGCAGCAGCTGCTACATATTCAGCTTCAGCTGTTGAAAGAGATACATAATTCCGTTTCTTAGTTCCCCAAGAAATGACTAAAGATCCAAGGAAATGGGAAATTCCAGAAGTACTCTTTCTGTCAACTTGATAACCAGCAAAATCTGCATCTGCAAAACCAAAAAGATCAAAAGTGTCACCTGCTGGATAGAAAAGGACCAGGTCCCCTGTCTTCTTCAAATATCTTAGAATACGTTTTGCAGCCTTCAAATGCGAATCACGAGGACATGCTTGCAATCTAGCACACATTCCAACACTATATACAATATCAAGTCTTCTAGCAGTCAGATACAGCAAGGATCCAATGATTCCTCTATACACGGTTTGATTCACAAGAGAATCGGATTCATCTGCTATAATCTTGGAGTTTGTTCCCATAGCAGTATCAATAGGTTTAGAATCAAACACATTGAATTTCTTGAACAGCTCCTTAATGAACTTCTCCTAACTGATTGAGATTCCATTTGATGATTGCTTGATTTGTAGACCTAGAAAGAAGGTTAATTCACCCATCATGCTCATCTCAAATTCCTTTCCCATTAATGATGAAGATTCTTCACACAAATGCTCTGATGTAGCTCCAAAAATTATGTCATCCACATACACCTGAATAATAAGAAATTCCTGTTCTCTTTTAAATAAGAACAAGGTATTGTCTATTTTTCCTTTTTTGAACCCATTTTTCAACAAAAACTTTGACAACCTTTCGTACCAAGCTCTAGGGGCTTGTTTTAAAC